TAAAAAAATTAGGGATAGAGTTGTCTTTTTTTATATATTTAATAGAGGTTATGACGGAAAAGTAAAAATGGACAATACTTATTTTCGAAAGATATTTGAGAGTGATAGGCAAAATCTCAGTCAGCGAAATTATTATACATTTATATCACAATATTGAAAAAAATATTGTGGGATATGAACCTACTAAGCAATCTCTTTCCTTTTTAAAATTTGACATTATCCGTATCAACATTATTATACATTTATACCATGTTAAGACTTTCCAATGCAAAATGCCATTTTTGAATTTAATATTTGACATTATCCGTATCAACATTATTATACATTTATACCATGTTAAGACCATTTTCAATACAAAATGTCATTTTTACATTGTCAGAATGTTACTATATTTTAGCAATTCTGCTCTAATGGTGCATTTCATCCAAAATGTTATTTTTTTACACAACTACCATTATTTTTCAACTACCAATTTTTAACAATTATTTTTTTATTTTTTATTTTTTTTTGTAAGTGTTTGTATTTTATTCCATGATCTCTCACATCCTAAATTGAGGAGGTCCAAAAAAAAATTGGAAATAATTGAAAAGAAAAGAAAGAAAGAAAATATAAGGAACAAAGTAATTTGTAATCTAATTACAAGAGCGATCAATAATTGGTAATAAAATGAAGCACTTCAACAAAAGAATATGAGAGCCATAAAAATGAGCCATTTGGAGGCAATTTTGAAAAATCGATTATGTAAATGGAATCGGAATCCGGTTGTGGGGCAAAAATCTCTCCTTCCAATTAAGACAAGATACATCAGCACATAAGGGAACCACCACAAACACTTAGATTATTCAACCTTCAAATTGGACCTCTACAAGAAGCTTAGGGCGAATTAACTAAGTATAATGAACTCATTAAGAAGGCCCAAGATGATGAGACCCCAAGCCTAATTACAATGTATAATTAAACCCATTTTTAGTAACAGTTTTATTAGAAGAAGGATTATAATCTATGGAAACCAAATAATCTTTATTATAAGGAAAGTATAATGTGATTAAGATTCTGAAGGGACAAGCAATGCGAGTCCTAAAAGGACTTGATTAGGTTTTTCCTATAAGGGCTTAGGACCCTTAATAAGGGACACACAGAAAAAAGGGCAAAGCTCTCAAAAAAGAAATCTAATTTCATGGCCAGAACTACGTTTCGACCTGATTCTTACACTCTATGAGGTGGTATACGTAGACAATCTAGCTAATCCTAACTTCAGTCATATCATCAAAATACTCTCTCATCTCTGTACAATTTCTCTAGTTGGTTGTTTTTCTCCATTATTATTTTTGGTGTAGTAATTGCAGAGATTTTGTTGACTATTCTTAGTCAGACGAATTTTTGCACCTACACCGGTAGGTTTTGAGACAATTTTGGAAGATAATTGTCCCGTCCCGAATATTATAAATTTATTAAATTACCTTTACATAGTATGATATTTTCAAAAAAAAAAAAAAAAAAAAAAAAAACAAAACAAAACAAAAACTGAGTTTTAAGAAATAATTTTCTAAGAACTATAACTAGACAAGTTTTTATAAAGCCCTTTCTAATTTTTAATTATCTAAAAATAGAAAACCGAACAAACTGACCTTATGATACCAAATCCATTCAACATTATCAGTTCATGTGAATAAGAAGAAGATTAGGGTCTCATCAAGTTTCACTTGAGTTCTTGAGGTGGAGTCCTTTTATAAATGAATAGTGATTATTCACACCGAACATTTGTAATGAAGTGTTTAATGGAATGATTTTTTATTAGTTAGTTATGTTAAATACAAGTAAGTGGAGGCTCATTTCCTTATTTGTTACATAACTGACCAATTAAAAATAATAAATTTAGCAATTCATTGTAATTATTTCATGCAAGGATCATTTTCCTTTATAAATAAATCCAATTCTAATTTTACCTAATTTTTAAAATTTAGTCTTACAAGTGCAAAGTGGTCAATACTTCCAATCTTTAATCCATATAGTATATGATTGGTTAAGTAGGTCCATTAAGATTCTGGACATACTTACCCAAAACCCAATTCAGGAGATTAGTATTGCACCATAGTTAAAAACTTATGAAAATTAGTAATAGGCTTGGTTGCATTGGGCTTAGTTGGCAAATATTTATGGCCAGGCCTTGGCCTGGTTGATTGGTAAAAATTATGGGCTAGGAGACTCAATCCACCATCTTTGTGCTAGTCCAGAAGTCCGATCAACAACCATGGGATAATTGAGTGTTCGAGTCTGGATTAAGGCATAATATACAGTTTAGGTATATATTTGTTTAGACTTAAAAAATAAAAATAAAAATAAATAAAATGTATTTTGATTTAGAGAAAAAAACAATCATGGGTTATAACTACTAATTATTGTTATGGGCAAACATAATGATCACGACCATGTTTAAACTTTCACTAGAAGAATCCTAAGATCTCGTAGAAAAGCAAATTTTGCCATTTTATAATTGGCTCACTATTTAATTTTTCTTTCTTCCAAGATCTAAATAGAAATATTTGTCAAAATTGATGTTATTTTGCCATGCACACTTTCAGTGGCAGAAAGAACTAAAATACCTCTAAAGTATCATATTCTCAAATTTTTCCAGTCGTTAGATATGGTATCCGGGTTACTGTACCCAGAGTATTATAAAAAAATTTTGTTGACAAGAACAATTGTTTACGCTTTACATTTTTGCTTTCAAATTAACATTTGTAGTATTGTGCAAAGTGGAAAAAGAAAAAGAGTATGTGAACCGATTTATTTATTTATTTATTTTTTTTTTTTTTGGGTTTTGATGGCCTAGTACTTTGTGGATATATTTGTTAAAATTAAGAATATTCATATGATTCAAGTCCTTTTTAAGTTGACAATTGTCGAAAGGCATTTGATATGGATACATTTTTTAAACTCGAGATAAAAAATATGTATAGTTGTCTACATTCATCTATATAAATTTGATTTTAGATAGAGAAATTATGGTTAGTTTCTTATACTGTTTGGATTAGACATAAAAGCAAAACTAATTCTATCCCAAAGAATTTATAAAATTTGAAATCAAATCCGATCCAATAATAAAACATCGGATTTATTTTATGATTAGATTTTTATAAACAACCTAATAGTTTTTGAGATTGTTTAGCCTAATGTGAGATTGAGATGAATTAATCTACTATAATTACATGATAAGGAGTCGTTATAATTGTCCATTCTTTAGTTTTGATAGCTGCAAATTATTTGAAATTGAAGAGCATAGTAAGATCACGATAATACATCAACACTTCTTAGGTCATTCTCAACCGCCTTTCTAAAATTTTGCTCTCTAAATTAGTCATATCAACTTGTTTTAAGAATCACGTAGGCACACTGAAGCAGCCTCTCCGAATTTTCGTTTTCTAAAAATAATACTCCCTCCGTCCTATAAAAAGTGTTACTTTTAAGAAATCGTGATTCTTATAAATTGAACTGACACGGTTCCTAAAACATGACACTATTTTTGAGACGGAGATAATAATTTTTTAATAATATATATATATATATATATATATATATATACATACATATTTTACCAATGGCTATCTTTTGACAGCTATCATGCAAGGGCTTATATTTTAACGGCTATATTTTATGTCAATGAAATAATACTCTAACAATGAACCACACAAATGTGTTGCACACGACTTATAAACAAACAATTGTACATTGTACATGACTTCAAATAAAGAAAAATAGAAAAAGGCTTCATTGCTCGCCATGCCCGGCCGAATACCACGAGGCCTCTAATGATCACGGAAGAATGGGTCCCACCGTACCACGATGCCACACAACCAAACTCTCCCTGGGGTTGGAGTCAGAAGTTAAATCAAGGAGGCCATAGCGTAAAGAAAATAATAATAATAATAATAATAATAATAATAATAATGACAATACACATAGATTTTTCAAATCAAGAGGGAGATAATAAAAATTACTCAAAAGTGGTTTAAAAAAGATAAATAGTCAACAAAAATTTTAAAAAGAAAAGTAAAATGAGAGAACTTGGAAAGGAAAAAAATTAGACTTTGATTCAAAAAGGAAAAATTGACTTTTTTTTTTTTTTTAAAAAAAAAAGAAAATTAAACGAATTTAAAAAGTAACAAAGAGAATAAATACAAAATATAAGATAAAAATTTTAGAGGTGTATTATATAAATTTTTTTTAACATATATACATATATATACATAAATTTAATATATGTATTATAATATGTGAGCCAAGTCAGAGGTATGTGTCCCCTGGGTGTACACAGCTCCACATGCTTCCCGGCAAAATAAAAAAATAAAAAATAAATAAATAAATATATATATATATATATATATATATATATATATATATGCTGCACATGATCTTAATGGTATAACAAATAAGATGAAGTTACAAAGTATGTGTAAAGGATTTTTATCTAATTAATGAAATTAAAAATTATTATATACACAACATGTTTCTATATAATATAGGTATCCAATTGGATCAGACGTAAATATGTGAACTAATATAAATTTCGTAGATTACTTATTTATGAATTTGTCATTATATCTGTGGACTAAAAAATCAATCCAATCCACACAAATTAAATTAGAGTAAATTGGATTAGATCGATTCACATTCACGACCAAATGAATACTCCCTAATTACAGTGATGCCAAACTTAATTAAAAGCAAAATGAAAATGACATGTATTGTCGCTGCACGACTAAAACGACACCGTACTTTATCATAAACATTGCCTTTTATAGACAAAAATGTACTGAGAAAAACCAGTCAATACTCGGAGAAGCTTCCATATCCTGTTTCCTCTGATGAAAAATATTCCAAACTCCAAAGGCCGGCCTCAACTGTGTTAGGTAAAATACAAGTATAAAATACTCTATATCTATAGCCTATACATATATTATATATCTATATATTTACACACATTTATATAATAATATCTGTGATAAGAAACAAGAATGACTTCTTTTTGGCCCACAAATTACCATCAAATTAGGTTTTGCTAAATTCCACTCTACGCTTCAATTTCGCAAATAATCATCACCACCATCACCATCACCACCACACCCACTCTTGTGGTGTGGTCACAATTGAATTGAATTGAATCATTGTTTGCTGTAGAATTGTTTGATTCTGATGGGGAAAGGAGGAGGCTGTGTGCCGAGCAAGAAGAAACTGCCGTCAGTCGCCGTCGACGCCGCTCCGGTTCCCGCTCCGTCGTCTGCCGTCGACAACACCAACACCAGCGCCAGTGCTGCCACAGCCGCAGACGACAATGTTGCATTGCGATCGACAATTTCAACCGAGCCGATCGCGAAGTTGAAGATATTCATAGTGTTCTACTCGATGTACGGTCACGTTGAGGGACTGGCCCGGAGGATGAAGAAAGGCGTGGATGGGGTGGACGGAGTTGAGGCGGTTCTGTTCCGAGTTCCCGAGACGCTGACGGAGGATGTTTTGCAGCAGATGAGGGCGCCGCCGAAGGATGATGAGATTCCCGAGATACTGTCTGCGGCGGAGCTGGCGGGGGCGGATGGGCTTCTGTTTGGGTTTCCGACGAGGTACGGGTGTATGGCGGCACAGATGAAGGCGTTCTTTGATTCGACGGGGCAGTTGTGGAAGGAGCAGAAGCTTGCAGGGAAGCCGGCGGGGTTTTTCGTCAGTACCGGAACGCAGGGAGGAGGGCAAGAGACCACTGCGTAAGTAGTCTGATCCCAAATTGTCCTTTTTGTATGTTCTGAATGTTGTTACCTTAACATTATTTGGTTGAGAAGTGAGTTATTGTTCTACTAGTTTTGGTATTACTACATCATTTTGACTGTTTGAAGTACTTTACTCTTTGGTGAATTTGACTGCGAAGTGAGATAAAAACAAAGAAATAAATTACACCCTTGAAGAAAATTTATTTTAATCATTGATGGTATGATTTATCAGTGATTTACTCCGAGCTCTCTTGAATTCCTATACATCAAATATAAAAGACTGTTAAGGTTGATCAATATGAATTGGAACTTCTGAAATTTACTTAGAAATTTCATTCTGCTAGCGGTGAGATGGGAACAATCCTTTTGTCCCTTTTCCTTGAATCATCAATCACAAACAAATAGGGGGAACAAAAGGAATAGCCTAAATGGCTAAAACTTAGCTGTTTGAATGCTTTAAAATGAGTGAAATACTCAAGTCAGACAAATGTTCTCAAACTTGACTTCTCTGTGATTATCTCTATTTTAGTAATTATTCACAGAGTTGTAGAACTCATCTATTTTTGTAATGATAAATTTAGTGACACGTCATTTTTGAGCATATTACCCTCTGCTTAGCATCTGTAATGTTATTTATAAATTTTTATACTATTCAACTTGATAATTTCAAATGCACGTAATTTTGTCGTACAATTTTCTTTCTCAACTCAACAATGCCTTTTCCCAACTATTTGGGGTCGGCTTGTCATAGAATTTTCTTAAAAACCGTATGATATATTCTGGACTGTGGCTTCTTCTGAGTTGCAGAGTTCAATACTCTCACCATACCAATTAAATATAGCCCGTCACCAGCATGTTATGTATGGGAAACAGGAAATATGACAGATCTGATCAATTCCATTTAACATATCTTCGTGTATATTTAATATTTTATACTTGCTGGATGCCTAGGTTTTCAAACCAGCTCATCATTAAAATCTGAAACACACATATTCTCTAAGGAAATGAGTAAATTGCTGCTGGTATTTGGTAGAAAAGGAAAATATAAATAAGTATATTGATATCACATAAGACATTTTTGGGAATACCATTGGATAATGTGATATTGTGAAGAATGTAATGTAAATAGTATGTTCTGGTTGTAGCACATAGCACGTGCTATTTACATCTGATAATGAAGCATAGAGGTCAAGTCTTGATGAAAATAAGGTTAAAATCCACTCAAGAACTCTAAGTTGAGCACCAAAAAGGCCAACAGTAGATCAGTAAGTATATATGCAATTTCGGTGAGTGCCCTTTTTTTTAGATATTCTAAAGGATGCAATGATTTTATATTTTTTGCCTCCACACACTGCGCATGTTGATTACTCAAAAGAAAGGATATGATATAGCAAGGCAGCATGACAAATAGAACCACAATTACATTAAGAATATGGAATATGTAGATTGTGCAACTAATGCTGGACACATTTGTGAATTGTGATTCCCTGAATAGATGCTCATTCAGAACATAGCAGGCAATGGTTTGTTTAATATATGCAAACCAATGCTTGCTTAATCAATGTTTATAAATTTAATGACTGCTGTGTTACGTATGGATGGAACAGAGTGCCTTTCTTAGAGGAAATATCATCGTGCATGTTGATTTCCACAGAAGCACTGGCAATTGATGGAAATTAAATACATCATGAAAAAAAACTAAGATTTCATGAATCTGGGCAAGGTTTTAATTAAGTTTGGTGGTTTCAATGTTCAAAAGCTTAATTGGCTACAAACTTTTGCCTTGCTATATAAGAGAGAGTAAAATTTTGAAAGTAGAAGTCTGGTAATGTAGAATGAGGGTCAATTTACTTGTTTTGTAGTTTGAAAATTTGAGTATCTCTTAGCTTTAATCATACTGGTTTTTGAAGATGTCACCTTGGGAATATAGATTTGTGATGTCAGTGGTCGTATGCTTCTGGCAAGTAATTTCGTGCATCCATAATAGCATATGAAATGGAATAAGTTTGAACCAGATCCATGTAAATTTGAGTCCACAAACATACTTTAATGTCATGGTCCTTCTAGGAATCTGAATACGAGACGGCCGTTATGGACATAATCCACATTTGATCCATATAGCCATGGATAAACAAAATAAGTCTCAACTTGGGAAATCAATAGTTGGATTGGATAGGATTTTGAATTAACCCGATATTGTTACTCAAGAATTGACTCTAGAGGGGGGGTGAATAGAGTCAATGGCCAATTTTGGCAAATTATAGAAATACAATTTCTAATTAATAATATAACCTATTGTGCAATAATCAACATATGAAATCAAGATATGAAAGTAAACAATTTATAGCACAATTATAAAAGAGATAAGGGAAGAGAAATTGCAAACTATAACACGGCGATTTTTGCGAGGTTCGGAAAACTCCTACTCCTCGGCTCAAGATCCCTCTTGAGACTTCCCAATCCAATATAGCTTCTCGTTACGGGTGGAGAGCAAACCTTGATTAGAAGTAACTCCTTGCTAAGAGAAAACCTCTCTTAGTCTTCCTTTGGGTCACACCAACCCTTACAATATCCTTGCTAAGAGACCACCTCTCTTAGTTTTACATAGGCCACACCAGCCCTTACAATTTCTTTGCTAAGGGAAACTCTTCCTCTTAGTCTTACAGCAGATTTGTAGATAGAATTTGTAGTACAAGAAATCCTCTCAAGAACTGATACAAATCAAACCTCACAATAAAGTATATATGAAGTCAAGTGAAGCTCAAACTCTAAGTATGAAATGTATGAGAGATGATGAGAAAAAAAAAATGCAGAACAAAAGCTCTGTATAATGGTAGAGCAAAAAGCTCTCTTGGGATGCACTTGAATGAATGTTCTTGAATGCTCTTTTAAGAAGTATAATAGAACAGAAACTCTATGAAGATTAAGACAAGAGCAAAAGCCCTTTTGATCTTTATGCTTGATTGAATCTCTCAAAAATAGAATAAGCGTGAAATGAGAGAGAAGAAGAGAAGATATGAGAACAACAGCTCTCTTTGATGCAATATAATGTCTCTCAACAATGGTAGTTTATTTAGCATGCTAGCCCTCTGTATTTATAGAATTTTGAGACTCAATATAGTTGTTACAGGTTGTTGGGAAACATTTAATGAAAATAATTCCGTTGCAGTTCAAAACCCAGAAAGAGCCTGCTCTTAAAACAAGTGAGCCGTCTCTTTGTTCATTTATTCCTTAGAAAGAGCCTGCTCTGTAAAACAAGAGAGGCGGCTCCCTAGCTTTGAGAGCCTGCTCTATATTTCTTTGGAGCCTGCTCTTTGGTTGGAAACATTAGTCCTTCGTTAAAAAGCCTACTGGAATTGAAAAGAGCCTTCTCTTTTATTTCATAGAGCTTTCTCCATCTCATTGAGCCTTCTATTTTATTTCATGGAGCCTTCTCCATCTCATTGAGCCTTCTCTTTTATTTCATGGAGCCTTCTCCATCTCATTGAGCCTTCTCTAATTTTTCATTGAGCAGGCTCTATTAGCCTTAAGAGAGCTGGCTCTATTTCTTATAGAGGTGGCTCTTGCTTCATGAAGGCTACTGCTGAATTGGTTTGGACAGAAAAAGTTCATGACTTCAGATGAACTCAGTCCATAAAACTCCAAATGAGGTGAAATTTGAGTCTAAATTTATTACCTTGAAGTAAGCTTTCTAATGCCACTAGCCTTGCTCAAAAATTCTAAACACAGAAATGGTTATGGCCATTTTAGTGCAACCTGGTCAGAATTTTCGCAGAGCAGAATCAGTCATCTTGTGATGGTTATATCTCTCTCAATTCAAATCCTTTTTAGGTGAAATTTGAGTCTAAACTCAAGGGCTCGAAGTCAGCTTTCCAATGCCACTGACCTTGTGTAAAAATTCCAACTACACAAATAGTTATAGCAGTTTTAGTGCAAGCTGGTCTGAAATTTTCTAAGCTGAAAATAGCTTCTTTTGAGATATCCATCTTTCTAGCACCTAGGACTTTGATGAATGATTCAATTAAGTTTAAGGCCTATTTCTAAGAGTCTTGGGACATATGAAGATGATAAATTTCAAGTGCATTGTGTCCAAGAGTTATTTACCAAATTTTGGCAACAAAGGCTTTAAAGATGAAAAATTAATTCAATGCCTTTTCCTTTTCTTTTTAGAGACCAAAATAAGTATTGTGATTAATGTGCATGGTCCTAGCATTTCTAGCTTAAGTTGAGTTCTTTCAAAGCTTATGCAAGCTTGAACTAACTCATTCTTAGCAAAGACTTCATATGTTAAATATATGTGTATTGAAGTTCAAAGTCTATTGTTAATGATGTAGGAGCATATGATGTATGATATGCATGGTCCTATAGAGATGAGCTTCAAATGAATTCAAAAATACTTTGACATTAAATCTTAAGCTCTCACCATCTTATCTACCCCTTTTCTTCATTCTTGACCATGATCGTTTAGGCTTGATGAAGACTTGTTTTCTTTCTTTGAAATGCTTGAATGATCTTTGAAGTTCGAGTTTTTCTTTGATTGAATATGCCTTTGATCTCTTGCAACTTTTAAGGCTTCCTTGAATCCATAGCTTGAGTATTTGTAATGCTTGGAATGGATCTTCTAGCTCAACATTGAGGATTGAATATTGATCAACTATATATCACTCAATGAAAACATTAGTACTTAAACATCATTAATGGTTTGTAATCATCAAAACATAAGATTGGCCTTTAGATAAAATCCTTAGGCCAACAGATATATTTCATGCACTCCTTATATCCGAGATAAATCTTCTAAAGTAAATCCATTTCCTATCTGGTTAGTTTCGAATTTAATATACATTTCAAACCTGGCCAAATGGATTTCAGATTGGACCGAGTCTCGAGTCAAACATAATCTGTAGGGATCCGTTTTGACCTAAAAATCATGGACCCTTCTCAGGAGGTGTCGTCTTTGTTTCGAACACTTACATTGAGATATTTCAGACATTTATTAT